TGGGAGAGAGGGAAGGCGGGGTGTTTTTTTTTTTTTTTTTTTTTTGCTATTTTCGAAGGAAAGGAATTTTGGAGGCATCATCAGCCAATCACAAACCAGATCTGAGATTCCCATCGTCCCGTCCTTCGATAAAACGTGACGCCTCGGTACTGCGAGCTCCGCGACCTCGGTCCTCGCCGGCTCTTTTTCATCGCCGCCACCGCCGCCGGCGTCGGACCTCCGAAACTCCCCTCCCAGAATGACGCCGTCGCATTCGTCGACAACCCTAGCCACTCCCTCCGCGACGACGAGGAAGAATTCTTCTCCTTCTCCGACGGATCCCCTCCGGTGATCGGGAAGAGGTCGATCGTCCGAACGCGATCGACTTCGGAGGAGGAGGAGCAGTAGTAGTCGTCGTCGAAGCTGAAGGAGCTTTCGAGAAGCTTCTCCGCGGAATCCGACGCCGTGTCGGAGGACGCCACGCTCAGGTTCAGGCCAAGCATTGCTCCGGCGACCACAAAAATTCGAATACAAATTTACATGTTCATCTCTTTCTAATAATTCCTCAAGTTTGTCAGCCTTTTACACGGTTTGTTCTCAATTTTTCTTATTTTCATATACTCTTTTCTGGGTGCAGAGGCTGACAAAATTACGGAATTATTGGAAGGAGAACATGTGGATGGAAGAATTCACGAGAGTTGAATAATTGAAGGATCAATAGACTGAATACTGCTATTAAAAATTTAGTCATGAAGATCATAATTTATAACTCTTTTATTTTGTTGTTTGAATCGTAATAGAACTCAAACTAATAATCATAACAGAACTCGAACTAGTTTAAAAGATTGTGTTTAAATTTTAATAAAATTAAAACTAATAATCATAATAAAATTAGAATTAATTTAAAGGTAAATGATAATGATAAACAAAAAAAAAAAATTAAAACAATAAGTCTAAATTAAAAGATAAATCCAAATAAATCCCAATAATAATTGGCAAAATGCACCAAATAACAATTTTTCACATATGGTAAGGAAACATTTCGCATATTTTTAAAACATAGTAGTAAATTGCAATTCATCCTTTTCTGTTTAAAATAAAATATTTTATTCCATTTTTACCCTTTTTTTTTTCAATGTCCTCCCTCTCTATTTCAGTAACTAATAACTAATCTGAAGTCTCTCAGAATATGAAAGATAATAACTAATCCGAGATATTTACCATTTGTGCTGAAGTTTAGGATCATGAATTCATAGTAGCCCTGCTAGTAATATTCTTAGATCTTGGTGAGGGTAGATAAATAAAAAGGGTAGAAAATGAAATGATAATTCTTTAGGTATGGTAAGTAACATCAACTTTTATTAAATATGTATAGAAAATTTACTTTCAAATTTATTGACCATTCACTATTTATATATCATATCATCTAAATTTAACAATATATCCATATGTATTGAAACTAAATACTTACCTGAAAATGAAAATAAATCAATTTCTTATTTGTGTCTATATGAACATGTATGTGTGTGTGTGTGTATGTATATGAGTTGATTTTGAGGGCCTTAGAAGTTACAGATTGCTATGGTGTTTCAGTTATAGATGGCAAATGCAAAGCTCTAATTCTAATACATTGTAATCTGTTGTGTTAGTATCTTAGTTCATCCATTACTAAGCTCTAAATCTAACCCAAGATTTTATCTTTTCACATATGTATCTTGAAAAAAAAAAAAAAAAAAAAAAAACTCTGACGCAATTTTGATTTGGACCCAAGTTGGACAAAATATGTCCATAACTGATAACTCTACCCCTACCCGTCCAGTAGTATCAATAGAAAGTGTTGCATGTTGGCTGGTTCTTTCTTTTTATTTTTTTCTGTTTTTATTTTTTTTTTCTTTTAACCAAATGAAATGAATTTGTTGTTTCCTGTTGTCATATTCGGGTGGTTTTCTTCCTTTCGATGAAATTGATAATTGACTCTATGATTCGGACACAAAAGAACAAAAAAAAAAGAAAAAGTAAAAAAGAAAAAAGAAACAAAGCAAAACAAAGCTCGCTGCCTTAGCCACAGAAGTTCGATATAAAACATAATCTTATTAGTCATATTGAAATATAATAAAAGAAATTAAAAAATTTATAAATAACAATCATTAAAATCCTTACAATAATTATTGTACAGTTTTATAACATAATATATGATTTATTATAATAATTATTACATAATTATACTACTTATAATAATTATTACATAATTAAATTACTCTTTAAATATTCCAAAAAAGTGATTGGATTTCAATTCCAGTTTTCTAATGCCCAAAGCATTGTCCATTATAAAGCTAAGAAACTTGGGCTGGCACTGACCACCAGGCCCAATAGTCATCCCAGCCCAGCCCAATCACCAACTACTCATGTAACATCAAAGAATATAAGAAATAAATCAAAAGTAGGATAATTACTGATAAATACAGGTAAGTATTTACTATATTTACCTTTATTGAGGTAAATTACTTGCAAAATGACCTCTAAAGAACAAAACTACTTGATTATTGGAGTAAATCCAATAACAGCAACAAATCTATAAGTTGTATCCACGAACAATTAAAACGTGAAACTGAAGACAAAATAATTGTTTTGCCCTTAACGACTTTGTAGGTAATTAAAAGAGTTCTAATATGACTTTTTAAGTTCCTTATTGCATGAAGTGGGTTCTGGATTCTTTTTACAGGTCGCCCTCATTTTTTACAAATTTATAATTTTAACCCGTTTGGTGAAATCAATGTCTTTGAGAAATTGTACAAAAATAACACAATACAAGTAGTGCGGCTAAACTTTTATGCACAATTATGGATACAAGAAGAGTTATGTTCTACAGCTTCTCCCTTATGCTCTAAGATCTCTTCTATTGCTGTTTTTACGTTCTTCCAATAATTCCGTAATTTTTGCAGCTTCTGCACCCAAAAAAAAAAAAAAAACTCATTTCTTTAAAATAATAATAATAATTGTAATGATAATCACAATAATAAAATAAAGCAACAAAATATTACATCATATGCCCATAATGAAAAAGGAAAATGAGATATATTACTGAATGAAACTTTGCATTAGGGACGGGAAAAAATGATTATAGTAGTAATAAAAAGAAAGTAGCCCACATAATGAAACATAAATTAAACTCATAAAGTGGCATTGTTACGATTTTAATCATGTTTCGTATTCTTATGTAAATGAGAAAAATTAGGAAGTACTCATGTAATGGTAATAATGTAATGGTAATAATGTAATGGTAACAGATTGAGAAAAAAAAAAGAATGATAACAATAATAGGGTAGATAGATCAACAAAATAAATTTAACTAAGAAAGTTGTAATTTCAAAGATTAACCGTTATAACACGTTTAATCAAACAAAACAAGGACCAAAGAGAAGTAATTAGACACCTTAAAAATAGGGCAACAATATATATCACATTCTGATGCAAATAAGAAAAAATAAGAACAACCCATGAAACTACAAAGAATGATTATAATAGAAAACTAGCCCTGATGAGGAAATATAAATTAAACCAAGAAAGTAACGTTAATTAATTTCAGAGAGTACATTAATTAACCATGATTTTAATGACGTTTAATCGCAAGAACGAAAAAGGAAAGAGAAGAAAACACGTTCATTTACCTTTGAATTGTCAGAGTTGGCCGAGGTCCTCGATAAAGATTTCTCCGCAGAAAGAATGGGAGTGGACTTGAGGCGCCGGTACGGCGGCGGACGAGGAGGCCGACCAATGGCCGAGCAGGGCATGGCCGAGTCGTGCTTCGGCGCGCTCTTGGGTGAGGCGTTCGACGAAACGCCCGGAACCCAACCTGAGGTCCGAGCAGATTCCAAAGGCGAGTGAGACGGAGACGAAATGGGAGCCAAGTTTTGGAGCCGGCGCGGCGGCGGACGAGGAGGCAGACCAGTGGCCGAGTCGCGCTTCGGCGTGGTCTTGGGTGAGGCGTTCGACGAAACGCCCAAAAGCGAGCCTGAGGTCCGAGCAGATTCCAAAGGCGAGTGAGACGGAGAAGAAATGGGATACAAGTTTTGGCGCCGGCGCGGCGGCGGACGAGGAGGCAGACCAGTGGCCGAGCAGGGCATGACCAAGTTGGGATTCGGCGCGGTCTTGGGTGCGGCGTTCGACGAATTGCCGGAACCCGTGCCTGAGGCAAGAAAGAGCTTCTTGGCGTCGGGTTGTTCGGAGTTGATCGAGAACGGCAATCGCCGTTTTTGGGAATCGGAGTTGCCGACCCCGGAGAAGCCGCATTTGGGGCATGGAGGGTTTTGATGTATCAGGTCTTGGTTCTGAACGCGCTGTTTATCTGCCATTGTTGTCAAACTTTTCTTCTTTCTCGCTCTGGTTTTTCCTTTTTTTTTCCTCTTGCTCTCTCTCTCTAGAAAGCGTAAGTCTCTCTCTCTCTCTCTCTCTCTCTCTCGCTTTTTCTGTGGGAGTGATGTAAATAGTGAGTAAATGGGAAGGAATGGTGGTGGGGGTTTATATAGAGCGGTGGAAGAGAAATGAATGATCTTAGAATTCTTGATGGAGATGTTCCCTTCTAGTTCTGATATTGGAGGGAAAAATAAACAACCAAAGGTTAACAAAACAATTGATCCAACGTGGAGTCATGACGTGGCAAAATGTGATTTAATTTAAAAATTGGGGTTAATTTGGTAAATGCCTTTTGAATTTTGTACCATGTTTTCAAATACTCGGCTTGTTCGGTTACATTTTTGAGTTATGGTGATTTGAGTGTAGATCTTGAGTTATAATTTGAGTTAAAATTGTAACTTGAGTTTGTGTTTGGATGTGCATATTTGAGTTATAATTTGAATTGAGAATCTATTTGGGTTTGTGTTTGAGTAGGTCAAAACTTGAATTTATATTTAGATAGTATTTTAACAATGGTGATGAAAAATTTTAATAGGGTATATGGGTGGGGTTTTATTCGACTCTTCATTGTAAATGCAGAGAAAAAAATCATCTCAATCGAAATTAAAATGAAAAAGTTATGACGTTTTTATGAGTAGAAAAAATATTGTTCATTAACTTGAGTTTGAGTTTAAGAACTTGAGTTGAAGGGAAACTTGAACTCAACTTTTAGTCTCAAACTCAAGTTAAAACTCTAGTTCAAACTCAAATTTTACAAACGAACATGAACTTAAAAAAAGTTGTAACTTGAGCTCAAACTTTTTTTGAGTTTTACTCCAAAATAACATAACAAGCCTTAAGTTTTAAAAACGATTAATTTCGCTCCTAAAATATAAAAAGCTTTTAAGTAATTTTATTTTATAAATATATTATGAAGTATTGATTTGGGACAATTTTCGCTTTGATCTTGTAAAATATTAGGGGATAAGGTGACCTAAAAGCAACAATTTAGTAGGTAAGTTTACTTAAAATCAATATTTTAGGGGCATTAATGACATTAGAAGTTGTGTCATGTCATTATTTTGTTAGTTTATAAATTTAGGGGGTCTTTAGAAATATCGCACATAATTCAAGGAGCAAAAGTGAACTAATTTTAAAATTCTGGGGCTATGTTGAAACAAGATACAAAATTCATAGTGTATTTTTTAAATTAATCATAAAATAAAAAAAAAGTGATGGGTGTGAAATGATAAATGAAGTACCCAAAAATTAATCATCTTATATTCTTATGAAAATAGTTAAGGATAATTTTGAAATAATAAAGTGTGGAAAAAAATAAATTTAATCGTTTTAAAGAGATGTGAAGTATGTCTGGAAAGTAGTGCGTTATACATGTATTATTAATGAAAGAGGGAAAGTATACAGTCACTACTGTTAGTGTTTGTATTAATATGGTTAAACATCCCCTTTCATCACACCCCACAAAAGCCGATAAACAAAAGTAGCTTTATGGGATTTATTAGAAGAAATACCCAAGTTAAAAATTACTCTTTTTAAAATTGTAACTTGTGCCAATCCTCTCTTATAATATGGTTAACTAAGGTCTCTAATTCTAAAAATAAAAGATTAGAACATCAATAGATTAGTTATGAAATATTGAAAGCACAATCTTTAATTAACTTTAACTATAATTTTACTTAAAAAGTTGGACTATTCTCATATTTATTTCTAATGTAATGACAAAATGTAACTGAACTTGTGCCAACCCTCTCCTTTAATATGGTTAACTAAGTCTCTAATTTTAAAAATAAAAGGTTAGAACATCAATAGATTAGTTATATGAAATATTGAAAGCACAATCTTTAATTAACTTTAACTATAATTTTACTTAAAAAGTTGGACTATTCTCATATTTATTTCGAATGTAACGACAAAATGTACCTGAAAAAACAGAATTTACTTACAAACGATGTCCTTCTTTAGAAATGACAAATGATGTTTCAAACGATATAAGAGCAACAGCTCCTATTATAGACGGGGAATGACAAATGATGTTTCAAACGTTGATCATCAAATGTATATTTTAACGCCCTCATTTGATCTAGTCGGACATGTAGATCTTTTTCTTTCTTTCTTTCTTTTTTGTGTGTATGTAATAAAGAAGTGATAATCAGTCAACTGAAAATTTGATGATCAACGTTTCTTAATTCTTATCTCTAAATCCACGATGTGTTTGGTGTCTAATCCTACCTATAAGCGTGTGTATATTGTCCTTATATGTAGTTTTCTGTCAGCCCTTTTCAGGTCATTCTGTTTCACTTCATCAAGTACTTTTTCTTCAGTTTAAAAAATGTTCATATATACCTGGGCCAATCCCAATCTTTAGTCTAAGTAAGATCCTTGTGTTGTTTCAAGAGAAAAAAGAAAAAAGAGAGAGAGAGAGAGAGAGATCCTTGTGTTGTTCATGTGGATCACTGACTAATTAATCAATGCCATATTTGTCTTTTACTTAATATATTTTATTATCATATTCCACACCATTTTTTTTGTTTGTTTTTGTTTTTCCCTTTTTGCATGGTATAGATCTTAACTGAGATTTTGATTTCAACAAACTAATTAGAATTCACTACTACTGTGCCAACAAAAGTTTAGGTGAGGGATCGTTTCCAGAGGATTCAACAAGCATCTGAAATGAAGAAGTTGCAGTATAATAATAATTACTCTAATCAAGCGGGTTTTGTGGACCTCACCCTGAGATTAGGCATGCCTAATCATGATTACAGCGACATTAATAATCCGACCGAAATTTGCCAATCATCTCTAAATTCGAATTACCTCTTCAGTCTTTGCCATTTCAATGGCTCTCACATGAGTAGTACTACTCATGATCAGGTACATATATCTCTACCTTTGTTTCTGATTAATTAATTATCAATTATTTGGCATGTTTATCGTTGTAGTTTATATGATGTTGATGGGTTAATTCCATTCAGTTAGTGTGATTAATCATCCATATTTAAGATTTTCTTGCAGCCTTTAATGAACAATTAACAATAATTAGCCGATTAAATGTGTCTTAATTAATTTGAAGAAAAGGTGAATAATTTTATATGCGCACACAACTTCTCTCTCTCTCTTGTTTGTGGTTATAGCTAGTCATGTATCTTTCTTTTGTTTTTGGATTTTTGGAAATCCTAGTTATCGTCGTTTACTCTCGCTTTACAATTTTCACCTAATTGTTATGACTTATCTAAGTTTTGTTATAATCAATAAACGGTAATATTTCTTGTACATGCCACTTTCAGTAAGGAATTTAATTGTACACCCCACACATGACACAGAAGTTAATAAATAAATCTGTCAAATAAAGCCATTATTGTGTGCGTTTAACAACAAAGGGCAATTAAATTACTTGGAACCAATAATTAATATTGTGAAAACGTAAATATATATATATATATATATATATATTTATCAAATTAAGAAAACCAGGTAATGACATTAAATTATTGGCAAACAAACAGGAGCACACATCATAAATAAATAATACATATATAATGTATAATATATGAAATGTGACATTCAGGCTAGTAGCCATAGGATAAGTCCGGCAAACGTAACATTGGGCGCGTTTGAAACTCGTTTTAAAATGATTTTGTTTTTTGTATGAAAATGAAAATGAAAACGTTTTCAATCTCAGACAGAAATCATTTTTGAAAATGCGTTTGATAGTTTTATCAAGATATTATTTTCACTATAAAAACTCATTAATGTCTCTCTCTCTCCCTGCTTGAGAGAGGAGAAAACGAAAATAAAAAATGAAAAACGACTAAAAGTCATTTTTCATTTCTATCTCATTTTACACTAAATCAAAAAAATCATTTTCATTTCTGTTTTTTGTCTTTATTGCACCAAATGCCGTTTTAGAAATATTTTCATTTTTTCTTTCTCAAAAAATGTGAAAAACAAAAAGGGAATCAATTCTAAACACGGCCATTGTTTTTGCATTCATATAATACGCACTTTATTCAAATATAACAGTCAATAAAATGTAATTTTCCGCCATGTTACAATACACTTGACATTATCATATTACACGAAAAAGTCATAAGCTCCTAAAAAAAACGTTATACTTTATCGTATGTTATGGTCGTTGGATATAAGATAATACCTATATATATATGACCGAAAGTTTTGCAAATCTATCTAAGCACCTTTTTTTGAGCTTGGGGTAAATCTATCTAGTACTTTTATATATGTACACATATAATTGATCAGTTTTGAATCTTATTGATGCATTTCAGCCCCTCATGCAATACTGGCAATATGGCCACAATAGGATGGTTTCTGGAGATCATATTACCGACAATGGCTATTATAACATGATCAACAACACTAGTGGTGGAGTACCAAGCAACTACTTTGGAAGAATATTCAACCAAACTGGAACCAATCTTGGGCACCAGATTATTAACACAGGACCAGACCAAGTATTTTCTGAAGGGCCACATTATACATACTCAACTCCTAATAGTTCTACTTTTAATGCCATCACGAGTAATCCATACACAAGTACTTCAATTTCTCCAGCAATAATGAAGAACAACATTGATCTCCTTTGTACTAGATCAAGAGGCCAATCTTCTCTAAGAAAGAATAATAGAGGGAAAAAACAGTCCGAGGCAGTAGTAGTGGATGTGGGAGAAGAAGAAGAAGAAGAAGAAGAAGAAGTTGAAGATGATGATGATGATGATGATGATGCAAATAAGCGCTGCTCCAACCCTAAATGCCTCACTCATACTACTCCCATGTGGCGCAGAGGTCCTCTCGGTCCCAAGGTTTATTTCACAAATTTTTGTTCTTTGAATTTTATCCCCTTTTACTGCTTTTTTTTTTCGATCTTGTTTTTTTTGTTTTGTTAAGTTTTTTTAGACTTTCTTTAGTACGGTAACATACTGAT